GCCACTATTTTACGAAAACGCACGCTCAAAACTCAAAAAAAGACTTCAATCCCGACACAGAAAGATTCACTTTACACGGATAGATGGAGAAAACCTAATCCAAAAGCCTCAATCCAAAAATAGAAACCAAAAAAGTAAAGTGCGCAGCGCGATTTGACGGCCACGGACACGTTCGCCACTATTTTACGAAAACGCACGCTCAAAACTCAAAAAAAGACTTCAATCCCGACACAGAAAGATTCACTTTACACGGATAGATGGAGAAAACCTAATCCAAAAGCCTCAATCCAAAAATAGAAACCAAAAAAGTAAAGTGCGCAGCGCGATTTGACGGCCACGGACACGTTCGCCACTATTTTACGAAAACGCACGCTCAAAACTCAAAAAAAGACTTCAATCCCGACACAGAAAGATTCACTTTACACGGATAGATGGAGAAAACCTAATCCAAAAGCCTCAATCCAAAAATAGAAACCAAAAAAGTAAAGTGCGCAGCGCGATTTGACGGCCACGGACACGTTCGCCACTATTTTACGAAAACGCACGCTCAAAACTCAAAAAAAGACTTCAATCCCGACACAGAAAGATTCACTTTACACGGATAGATGGAGAAAACCTAATCCAAAAGCCTCAATCCAAAAATAGAAACCAAAAAAGTAAAGTGCGCAGCGCGATTTGACGGCCACGGACACGTTCGCCACTATTTTACGAAAACGCACGCTCAAAACTCAAAAAAAGACTTCAATCCCGACACAGAAAGATTCACTTTACACGGATAGATGGAGAAAACCTAATCCAAAAGCCTCAATCCAAAAATAGAAACCAAAAAAGTAAAGTGCGCAGCGCGATTTGACGGCCACGGACACGTTCGCCACTATTTTACGAAAACGCACGCTCAAAACTCAAAAAAAGACTTCAATCCCGACACAGAAAGATTCACTTTACACGGATAGATGGAGAAAACCTAATCCAAAAGCCTCAATCCAAAAATAGAAACCAAAAAAGTAAAGTGCGCAGCGCGATTTGACGGCCACGGACACGTTCGCCACTATTTTACGAAAACGCACGCTCAAAACTCAAAAAAAGACTTCAATCCCGACACAGAAAGATTCACTTTACACGGATAGATGGAGAAAACCTAATCCAAAAGCCTAAATCCAAAAATAGAAACCTAAAAAGTAAATTGCGCAGCGCGACCTGGCAGCTAGGGACACTTTCGGCACTATTTTTCAAAAACGCACGCTCGAAACCGAAAAAAAAATATCAATCCCGACACAGAAGAATTCACTTTACACGGATAGATGGGAAAAAACCGCTCCAAAAGCCTGGATCCAAAAATAGAAATCAAAAAATTAAATTACGCAGCGCGATCTAACAGCCAGGGACACTTTCGCCACTATTTTTCGAAAACGAACGCTCGGAACAGAAAAGAAAATATTAATCGCATTACAGAAGATTTCAGTCTACGTTGTTATGTAGAAAAAACTTAATCGAAATGCCTAATTTTGTAAATATTAGCGAGAAACGTAAACTGTGTATTATGATTTTAGTAATACTTGTACTTCCGTCGCTTTATGTTACATATGCTCCCTCAATCAGAAAATAATTGACCTACTATTTGGAAAACAGCCTATTGTATGCAGTAACAGTGAAATATTCTAATCCACAATCGAAATTTAGAATGTATAAGCGGCAAAGCATAACTAATTTGCAATTGAACATCAAGATTGAAGAAAAATTGGAAAAACTATTAAAAAGCTGCCTATTCAGAGTAAATATATTCAAATATCCCAATGGACAATCGAAATATAAAATCTACTGCAGTCGACGATATGGGACTATGCGGTAATATTACACGATCCGCACTCACACCACTTCACTTCGCACATGTATCGTTGTACGATTAGCTCCATGCACATCAGTTTTTTCCATATGTAGTATATTACCACTGAAGAAATATTCACATTTAGGAATCTTGAATTTCGTAAATTTCTCACAATGTCTTACACTCGCGCTCTATTCTGTTCGTAAATATTTCGATAATGTTGAAAACATAACCTACAATAGCAATATCGAATACCGGACACGTCGCGTTATTGCTTTTAAATATATATTTTTTCAGTTGTAACAATTAAAACGTCTATCAGTGATATCACTACTTCTCGATACATTTTGAAGAAACCTTTAATGTTTCACTTTGAAGCGCGAAAATAATCCACCATTTGTTACCGATATATTCGTTTGGCGCGAACTGAAGATGACTGCGGCTGGACAATGTATGCGTTTTCCTCGCGGGAAAATGCTGCCTCTTTGAAATAGCTATGTGCAACAGTATGCATGTAGAATATTAAACGATGTCTTTTATATTTATTAATATTAACGAAACAAATATAAATATATTGCTTTTACGGAAATAACAAATTAAACCTCAAAAACATTATTATAGATGATAATTTATTAAATTTTGTTACTTTTTTATATATTTGCGTTTCGGGCAATTTGTTATTAACAATAAATTAATAATTTATGAATAATTTGTAAATTGTCGCAACAGTTAAATAGCTAAGTTTATTTGATATATTTATATTAATATATTTTAACTCGTTTTTGAGAATAAAATATGTTCGTAATAAAAAAAACCACATTAATTAAGAAAGTGTAAGAGTTATGTTAGATTAGAGTCGTAGAGTAATAAATTATATGTACTACTTTCAATTAAAGGACTGTTAAATGAATAAGACGAAAGTATAAAATATACAGATCAGAGGATTTGACTACACATAATATTTCACATTCTTAACATCCAATATTTTTTAACATTTTTTTCTTATTTTGTACTATACTTTATTAGTGATTTATTTTTTAAAATTGATTAATTTCTTTACTATATCATTAGCAGTGTTTTAAACAGATTTCGATTTTCGAACAATAGTTTTAATTACAATTAATATCGATGATAATTCTACATTACAATTAATGAAACAGCGCATGGAATTTTGGACAATCGACTAATAGAAAAGTGTCATAATATCATGTTATCGTTAATATCCGATATTACACAATTTTTGATTTAACCTTCGGTAAGCCTTTCCTTTCTTCTGAAAAAGTTATTAAAAGAGTAATCGGTTTCGAGCTTTGTCGATACTCCCAAAGAATAATTCCCTTCTCTTCGAAATCCTCTCGAGTAACAACTCGATCAGTACAATGTGCTTACAAAGAACAATTCTTCTCAAAATATTTTTCCATGGAATAATTCTTCCTCCTCCCTCAAAGCCGACGTCCGGCATGGCGAGACATTCTTTCATGAAATAAGTCCCTTACCTTCCCTCGTCCTTTCTTGAAACACTATCTCAAAGCATGATTTCTTCGATACTTTCAAACAAAGGTACTAGGAGATCCAAGTTGGATGAAAAGGGAGAATCGTATTGAAAACTACAAGGTAAACTCCATGCTTGACTCAGTGTAGTTGGTCCTTCGTTCAAGTTAACTCGATAATAGCCTCCTTCGTCCGATTCCACGTCAGATAGGATATCATCGACAAAGATCGTTCGCGAGCTACTGGTTCGCCGTGGTCCAGCCTTGTTTGTTCGTCGTAAAATTGCGTTGCTTCGACTATTCCGCATCCAAAATCAATTGGTCGTTCGAGACGTCTCGTGGAATGCTTCTCTCGTGATCTCCAGGGTAGCTTTGTCGTTAAATCGTCTTTACTTTATCGGCCCCTGTTACGGTTTTGACTGGTACGTCAAGCCTCTTATCTTCCACTTCATCGCTTCTGGATGTTAGATTACACGAATGTACAATATTATCGAGGTAACGAATTCGATTAAATTTGGTCACGGGTTGTGAAAGACGTTGGAGGAATCTGTTTAGACAATCGAGCTCTTCCATCCTTCAATTAGACCTAATGTCTCTTTTATACGAGACGTCTTTAATAATCTGGAGTGAGATACATATACGTGTACACCTAAACCATATCTCTACAACCCTTGCAGTCCGAGAAACTTTTCTCCGATCGAATAGCGGCTCTAAGTTTCCTAAGAGCAAAAATTCGTTTTCCCAAAGAGTAATCAACTGCTCTACCTTTGTTAATAGAAATAGTATGAAATATAACAGAATAATATATTGCATGTTATCGATTTCCCCATAATAACACCATCTATGCGCAAAGAGTTAACAACGTCGATAGATAACCATACTTCCACACGTTACTCTCATACCAATAGCTTGCAATTTTAACGATAATCTCGGCAACGTATCCGGATAGAACCAATCTCGCAGATGGTCGGAACATCACCAAACAAGCCATTGGACATCCACATATCATCCAAACGTAAACGACCTAACCCAAAGCAAACAGTTCCGAATCGAGCAGCCGCCATCGAGTTATCATGAAAATCGAAACGTAACACCTTCCCAAACTCTGTGAACACTAGAGTTCCCTTCGGAGACAGCATGTTCTTAGCTGCACGGTCTCTGGGCGGGCACGGAAGCGTGGAGGAGCCGGCGCGGCCGAACGGCGAGAGGACGTGAAGCTATTCTTAAAATAGGGCTCGTCTGAACGAAGCGAATGAACGAGAGAAGCCGATACGTATACACGAAGGGAAGGGTGAGACGCGGGAGAGCTGCACGCGTTAACCAGAGGAAGATGGAAAAGCATGGTCGAAAGAGGAGCGTGTAGGCTCGGGAAGAGCCGAGAAGACGGAGAAAGAGAGGGAACACGGCGTGCCTCGCGGGTCGCCGGCTCTTCTTCAGGGTCCGAGCTTCGTCCGAAACGAAGCGCCTCCGCAGCGTTCTCCTCCTTCTTCTCTTATGAGAACGTGCCGTCGGGGACGACGCTTCGTCGAACCGTTCGTCGTTCGATCGGTTCTCCACATTTCACCTCGCGCCTCTTATCCCTCTCGCGTTCTCTCTTTCTCTTTCTCTCTTTCTCTCTCTTTCTATCTTTCTGCTTCTATTCTTTCTTCCTAGCCTTCCACCGCCCACATCGTCCAGCTCTACCGTTCCTTCATCTTCCTCTTCTACTTCATCTTCATCTCTGGTCTTCCTCTTCCTTCATCTCGACTCGAACGGTGTCACGGTGAAACCTACGTGGTGCACAGTCCGGGTGGTGGTGCTGGTGCTTGGTGTTGGTGCTGGTGGTGGTGCTGGTTCTTTTGGTGTTGTCCATGGTGTCGGTGGTCGATGGTGATCGGTGAATCCGCCTCGAGCGACCAGGGAGTCTCACCCTTGGAATCCTTTCGCTTTCGCTCGGTCGAAGAGGGGAGGCTGCACGAAGCATGGCGTCCTACAGGAGCTATGTAAGTGTTACTACTCGTGTTCGACCATGGCTTTCTCCTCGATATCACGGTTGGTTCGAGGGGATAAGGCAGACGCGTCGCACGGGTTGGGAACCAACGGTTTGATCAACGGATCGGGGGCGGAGGGTGGTTCGGGAAAACGTAATTTCACCGACGGTTAATTGGGAAGTTGGTTTCGCGCGGGGTGAAACGTTGTTTACGCTACGCGGTGTCTTCATTAAATCGGCGCTGTTCGCAAAACGACGCGAAGTTATAATTGGTGTTCCGCGGTGTCATAGCACGAGACGAATTTTCGCGAACGCGACGCTGAAAAAGAAGCAGAGGAACGCCTCTGCCACGCTGAAACGCATTCACCCTAATGTTGCGAACGTTTCGGGAACTGGGCAGGCAGAAAACGACGAATTCCCTGCACACCGTTTTCGCTTTTCTCTGGGCAAATAGGAGTTTCTCATATTTTCCTTTTATTCCTCTTCCTTCTTTTTTTTCTCTTTTTTCTTCGATGACATCGTTGATGTTTGGCTTATCACGTGCAAATGCAATGTGGGCCGATATGCAGAGAGATGATATTGGATCTGTAATGGTACATTAACGTTAGAAGAGAGCGTAGAACCGAATAGAAAGCGAAGAATACGTCTTCAAAATTTTCTAGTTATCACTTTCTAACGTGTGAAGAAAGTTGTTTGAAACTGAGTAGCTTAATGACACCGATAACTAGTGTAGCTACAGAATTGCTATGTAACTTTGCACAATCACTTACTATATCAAAGTAGCGAGTGACGACTATACACTTCTAAAAATAGGAATTTGATTATTAAGAAAATGCACAGAAAACTGTTCTCGACACGATATTCGCATAATTTCGAATACTGCAAAAGTATCAAACTATATTCTTTGTTTTCGGGAAAAATATATTGTATATTGAACGATATCAATTACGGATTCTGATAAAAATTGAGTTTAGACTATACCTTTTTCTCCAATGTTACGTCTCTTCGAAAGCCCGAGTTCTGAAGGGATGGTTTTATATCCGTAATCACCACGGTTCATCGGTATAATGAAGCATAATGAACGTCGTTGCATTGGCGTGCAACGGTGCGAAGTGACACTAGCCGTGCGTTATCTCGTATCTGGAAGCTAGAAGTGGTGTTTGCCGGCGATATTTTCTCGTTATCTCGAGAAATGATTAGAGATTTAGCTGTCGCATCGAACGTAGCAGTTTACGCTCGTTTAGGAAACATTCTGTTATGACTGCTACATCGTGTCGCGAATTTAATCGAAAGTGATTAGCGGGATCGTGTCTCTCGATGACCTCTTTAAAGGGAGGAGATGATGTTTAGTATTTATTGTGCACGGTGCAGATATTATTAACCCGCTGATGGCCGCGCTCGCGTCTGACACGAGCTATTCCTGATTCGTTTGTGGACACTGTCGTTCGTCTGGTTTGTTGTCGAACCGGCTGATCTGCTTGACGATTCCCTGCGTTGGAAAATATTATTATACGAATATTTCGTGATATGACATTTAGAGCGTAATAAACTGTCGGAATGGAAATTTTCATACTTACTGATTTGCCACTGCGAAATTCCTGGCAATGTTATTAAGTAAATCGAATTAATTTGATCGTGATATCCAGGATCGAGCGTTCTCTGAAAAACGAATAAAATATTTGTAATTATTATTTCAGAAGATAATTAATTAATTTCTTAAGTATTTTATAAAAATCAGTAAAAATTTTTCACACTTTTTTGTTTTCAATTTAGTTGATCGTGGCCAGAGTTACAAAAAGTGGAAGTATTTTAGGATATACACGGTTTTGCATGAGCTTAGCGAATAAAGCAGGATCATGTTATCGCGGGATAAAGGAAATTTTACATAAAACCGAAACACGGTCGTGTTAACACGAGTATGATCCTTAATGTAATTTTATAGAAAAATGTACCTGAATTTCTTTGTAAAATTATTTATGAAGGTAAACGTTAATTACGATCTTCCAAATAGAATTCGATACAATTTTAACATCATACCATTGCCATACGCGAAATTATTTTTGCTCCCTCCGTTGTTTCCAATACAAGTTTCATTATTTGACAACGCAAGAATTCCATATCTGCATATTTCCGTATATTAATTTCGATATAATTAGTTTCAATTTTCTACGTGGAATTAATAACGTAATGCTTTCCCAACGTCATTTCAATTGTCTTCATTATCTGTACTTCGCATCTTCATCCCTATTTTTACGCGGCGATTCTATAATGAATATCACACGATGATCAATAACAATTGATCTCAATCAAAATGATCCACGATATACAAATACGCTCTACATAGTTCCTATTCGGTATTTGCATATATTCTACAACCCTGTTAGCTCCTGGATCCACATCGTAAAACTTTGGAATCACATTTTCAAGACATCAAACTGTCTATAAACTAATAAACCGAACGAGACTCGCGTAAAAATTGATTTTAAAACTGCTCGATCTCCACGAGCAGCAGACGTACCGAAAAATCCCTAAATAAAAAATGTTCCAACGATTTAAAACTGGACCTAAATGGCCTACATGGTGGGTTTAAACTTTCGATTCAAAATTCTGCATTCGTTGTCATCGCTTTTGTTACTCGGCTACGCGATCTTTCTTGTCATCTACATACAATCAATTTTCTAATATTTCTTCTTATTCCATATTTTTAAGGGGAAGTCCTGATCTAAAACTTTAAAGAAATCGATTTTTTTTTACATCTTTTAAATCTTTGGTCCCTGCATAATATAGAGTTTAAAGAACATTACAAAAATTGTCGAAGTTATAGAGACCTCTTTGAAGAACGGAGCAACGTGTTTAAAGACAATTTTAAATTTTAATTTTCATGAAAATGTAGCATTGAGCAAAAAAGAACGCATTGGTCACAATCAGAAAAGAACAGGAACTCATCTACGAGCTGTGAAGAAAGCTAAAGAACGAAACGGAGCCAAATTGATCACTTATGGTTTACCAATTAAGAAAAAATCCTCATTCAGTATAGAATCCAGAAAAGGCAACATGGGCAACATTTCATCATACGTCCCTTACTGACAATAGTCCACTCCACCACAATTATCCCTAGAAAGAAGAAAGTTGCTGTAAATGGTGACGTGCGGAAGCAAAAGATGAACTTCAACAATTCAGTTACCTTCCTCCGCAAAATGACGAAGTAATTGAAGCAATTGATGCAATTCGAACTGCATACCAAAATTTAATATCTGATAATTTGTTGGGAAGATGTACTTGAGGAAGCATGCAAAATAATAACGAGAGCTTGTACTCTTGCATATCAGCTTTAGTTTGATTGAATTTGATTGTGGACCATCGAGATTCCTACATTCCTAGCTGCTTGTACATTCAATACTGGACATTTATCGCTCCTGAAACATATGAATGTACTAGAAATTTTGCCGGACATTCTTCTTTTATCTTTTCATCCGTCGGTTACTTCACCGGTTGAGGTAGTTTAGGTGTTAAACAACAAACCAAACACAGGTCCAATAACTAAGAAAATGCAGAAAGAAGTCATTACCTTCGACTGTCCAAACGAAACTCTTCGACCGTTAAAGGTTCCTTAAAACACGAACCCGTTCCAACCGGAAACGTACGTGACGAACGAGTATTTCGGATGGATTTCGTCCCTTTGGCCGTGGTCGTTGCACCTCGCTTGTAATCTGAATGCAAGCCGACCGCGCTGTAATTATGCGATGTAAATGAAGTCCATTAACGTTATCGTCCGAAGGCCGCGGACGCACGCGAGCCTGTGTTTACAAAATACCGAGAATTTAAGACCTGTGTTCGCCAACCGTGCCGATGACGCCAACTTTTCCCCCGCCTTCACGATCTCTTTCCGCCACGATCGCTTGCACGTGTTACATGTATTCGTGCTCGAGGGATCGAGCACACTGGCCTCCCTCATGCGATCGCAAAGATCGCGCCAGGCCGCGGTTAAAAAAATATTTTTCTAACATATTTATCTGGCATTTCGTTTCCTGTAACTCTGCCTCTGAACTCATAATGAGCGACGTTGAAAACACAAAAATACCAAGTTGCAGCTCGATGTGATAATTTCTTAATGTTCCCTCACCATTTTGGATTCTCCATTTTTTTCTTATCATTTTGACGTTGTATTCGTAACCAGTGATTTCGAAAAGAGGTAGATACCAATTTTTGTATAAGCACAAAGATGTCTTCATTGTTTAGCTAATTTCCCGGTGAAATTGAGAGAAATTGCTCGTTTCGTGGTCATAGCGGGTTACTCGTGTGGTGACTGGTGAAAAATTGTTTTGTAACAAAGAGTTGCTCGTTTGGTCGTACGTGAAAGTAGTTTCCCATTGGGTTTTACCACACCAGATATGTTCCAGAGTATTTACTGGTTCTGGAAAATGAGAGGGTTAAAAGATTGGTTAAAAGATGATCGATGATTCTTACCTGCCATGTCGAAGGTTTAGTCGAATAGAGTTTGAAGATATGTTCTCCACTGCGGGTTTCAGCTATCATTGGCCTTTGGACTTTAATATAATTTAATGGATTATGGAAGATTTTAGCTTTTTAGTAGCTGATAGTGTATTACGATACGATTAATGCAAAATCAGTGGAACCTGCAAAACAAGATAATATAAGTTTACAGTGTGGTGAAACGTAAAGAATAAAGTACAAGATAGAAAGAAAAGTAAAAATATATGTTGATAGTGAAAAAGAAGACGAATACCTTAATTCCTACGCTGTATTTGCATATTGTACAGGAGGCCACAAGGGTATTTTCATTAAGAGTACAAGATAAAAAAGAAAAGTAAAAATATATGTTGATAGTGAAAAAGAAGATGAATACCTTAATTCCTACGCTGTATTTGCATATTGTACAGGAGGCCACAAGGGTATTTTCATTATTCTAAAATTAAAACAAAATTGTCGAATTAGCTATGACATTCAAAGTTATTTAGTCGGCGATGTTCATTCTATATAGACGATTTGAAA